CAGTCACAACTACGGTTGAGTTCTGGTTGTTGCAGAATTCTGGGAGTCCCTAGTGTTAAGATAAGGTACTACAAATAATACTAATACTAATAAAGCGGTAGAAAATAAACGAATGAATGAATGACTACCAACTAAGCACTGCCACTCAGTTGTTAGTGTTATTTTGTCAATTTTAGCCTAATGGTCGTGGGTTCGATCCCACCTCGATCCATGTCATCAAATCCCACTGATGTCTGCTGTGTCTCTGGGCAAGACACTTAACCCCACGTTGCCCGAAGCAATTTGGCGTTATTGGACGCCAAATTGCCCAGAAATTGAATAATAATGGGATGAAAATGATATGACTAATACTAATATCGCCGCTGCACAGACCCATCCCAGTTCAGTGTTATTCCCAGCCCTCCTGACGGGACCGTCTTTCCCGCGTCCTCGCCCTCCTGACCCGCGACGGCAGCGTTGGCCATAATCTCTGCATCGATTGCGGCGTCGCTTTGTTGTCTTGTGTTTTCTGTGCGACCGCTGCAGACATTGATCTAATTAGAAGTCTTCATTAGTCAGCGGCAGAGTGCAGTGTCATGCTCTGGGAATGATGTCTCCACACAATGCAGGGCCCTGTCTGAATCCCCAAACAGGATGTGGCCTTCAGGAGCCGCGGGAGAGATTGCCGCCGCAGACAAAGAACGGCCTGTGGACCCTTCTTTCTTGGAATTGTTGTGGGTTGGATGTGAGAATCTTCAAACGCTCCTCGAAATTATCTTTTAGCAAAAACCTCCACAAATGAATTTATCTTTCCCACACAATCACACGGACGCTTGAGTCGGAAAATTGGTGATTCAGCAAAAATCTGACAAAATGCCAGTCCAAAAAAAAGATGAAAAAGGCTGAAAGATCAGAGAAAGGAGGTGGTTTTGTAAGTGCACTAGACATTTCTGGGGCACCGGCTTGTACCAGAAATAGAAAAGTTTTGCAAATGTTTTTTTTTTAGTTGTTCATTGTCAATGCAGGAGGGTCTAAGGCAGGCATGTCCAAACTCAGGCCCGGGGGCTAAATGCGGGCCCTCAGTGTCATCTTATGTGGCCCTCTGCTTTGCTAACTCAAGGTAGTCTTTGAGATCATATACACAAGTTCACAGTGTCATCCATCCAACTTCAGCTCAGCCCATACAGACCTTGTTCTAAAGCCCAGTGCGTTGTTGACTGTATTTGCACATTCTGTACTGACAGGTTTTTGATTGTGTCACTTCTGTTAATGGTGCTAATGTACTGTAGCTAGTGAGATGGTAAAGATGTGTCATTCAGCCAACTTCAGCTCTGTTATGGATCATCATAAATCTCTGATGCCAGTTTTTCAGTCCGTGATGTCGGCCCCTGGACTAGTCTGGTGAACTAAAGTGGCCCTCTTACTAAAAAGTTTGAACACCCCTGGTCATTTATGGACAGTAGTCTCTGGCCCTCATCACCACAGCAGTCGTCTCGGAAAACTTTACAAAGAGAGAGAATCAAACGGTTCGAACGCAGAAAATACATTCATAACAAACACGTAGGAGCCGTTGGTCCAGAAGACTCATGGTTTATTTCCTGTTTTATTTTGTAATTTGTTTAAATCCCGTTGGATTGGTTTTACTTCCTGTTTCCTGATGCCCCGCCCACCTGTGTCTCATTAGTCTTGTACCTTCACTTCCTGTTCCGTCATTGTCATTACTCGTCTGTGTTAGTTCATGTTTTCAGTCCGTCACTGGATTTTCATTTGTATTTTATTTTATTAAATCCATTATTTTTGCAGTTCTTGATTTTGGGTTATTTTCTTTTTTCCCCCGTCACGAAGACCGTCCTTAGAAATTATATGTTTGGATTTTTGGGCATGAGGCAGAATGTGTTTTGGGCAAAGTTTGTTCATTTTATGTCAAACTGTTTCCTCCAGCCCTGGTTGGACTCTACACTCTGCTCTGCTCCAAACTGGTCCCTCTTTGTCCTGGTTCTATCCAGGCCGAGCTGGTACCAAAGTGTTCTCTCCTTTCTTCTCTCTCTCCTATTCTCTCTCTTCTCTCTCTCCTCTCTCCCTTTCATATCCTCTCTCTCCTCTCTTCTACTCCCCTCTCTCACTCTACTCTACTCTCTCCTTCTCTCTCCATCTCCTCTCCTCTTCTCTTGCCTCTCTCTCTCCCCTCTCCTCCCTTTATCTCTACTCTCTCCTCTCCTCTCTCTCTCTCCTTCTCTCCTCTCTCTCCCTCTCCTTTCCTCTCTCTCTCTACTTATCTCTCTCTACTTCTCTCCTCTCTCTCTCTCCTCTTCCTCTCTCCTTCTCTCCTCTCTCTCTCTACTTCTCTCCTCTCTTTCTCTCCTCTCTCTCTCTACTTCTCTCCTCTCTCTCTCTCCTCTCTCTCTCTACTAGTCACCTCTCTCTCTCCTCTCTCTCCTCTCTCTCTCTACTTCTCTCCTCTCTCTCTCTACTTCTCTCCTCTTTCTCTCTCCTTCTCTCCTCTCTCCTCTGTATTTGCCTGTACATTGAGAACTTGCCTCTTTTCCAAAAATACACTAATTTGTACATACACTGTCTTGCGAAAGTATTCGAGTATTCGAGTAGTAATGTTGAACCTTTCAAAATTTCGCCACATTTCAGGCTTCAAACATAAAGATATAAAATTTAAATTTTTTGTCATGAATCAACAACAAGTGGGACACAATCGTGAAGTGGAACGAAATGTATTGGTTAATTTAAACTTTTTTAACAAATAAAAAACCGAAAAGTGGGGCGTGCAATATTATTCGGCCCCTTTACTTTCAGTGCAGCAAACTCAGTCCAGAAGTTCAGTGAGGATCTTTGAATGATCCAATGTTGTCCTAAATGACTGATGATGATAAATAGAATGTACCTGTGTGTAATCAAGTCTCCGTATAAATGCACCTGCTCTTTGATAGTCTCAGGGTTCTGTTTAAACGCAGAGAGAACCATGAAGACAAAGGAACACACCAGGCAGGTCCGAGATACTGTTGTGGAGAAGTTTAAAGCCAGATTTGGATACAAAAAGATTTCCCAAGCTTTAAACATCTCAAGGAGCACTGTGCAAGCAATTATATTGAAATGGAAGGAGTATCAGACCACTGCAAATCTACCAAGACCCGGCCGTCCCTCCAAACTTTCATCTCAAACAAGGAGAAGACTGATCAGAGATGCAGTCAAGAGGCCCATGATCACTCTGGATGAACTGCAGATAACTACAGCTGAGGTGGGAGAGTCTGTCCATAGGACAACAATCAGTCGTGCACTGCACAAATCTGGCCTTATGGAAGAGTGGCCATTTCTCAAAGATATCCAATAAAAAGTCTCGTTTAAAGTTTGCCACAAGCCACCTGGAGACACACCAAACATGTGGAAGAAGGTGCTCTGGTCAGATGAAACCAAAATCGAACTTTTTTTGAAAACACAAACCATCCCCACCATCACTGTCAAACATGGTGGTGGCAGCATCATGCTTTGCGCCTGCTTTTCTTCAGCAGGGACAGGGAATGTGGCTAAAATTGATGGGAAGATGGATGGAGCCAAATACAGGACCATTCTGGAAGAAAAACCTGTTGGAGTCTGCAAAAGACCGGAGACTGGGACGGAGATTTATCTTCCAACAGGACAATGATCCAAAACATAAAGCCAAATCTACAATGGAATGGTTCACAAATAGACGTATCCAGGTGTTAGAATGGCCAAGTCAAAGTCCAGACCTGAATCCAATCGAAAATCTGTGGAAAGAGCGGAAGACTGCTGTTCACAAACGCTCTCCATCCAACCTCACTGAGCTCGAGCTGTTTTGCAAGGAAGAATGGGCAAGAATTCCAGTCTCTCAATGTGCAAAACTGATTGAGACATACCCCAAGCGACTTGCAGCTGTAATTGCAGCAAAAGGTGGCGCTACAAAGTATTAGCGCAAGGGGCTGAATAATATTGCACACCCCACTTTTCAGTTTTTTATTTGTTAAAAAAGTTTAAATTATCCAATAAATTTTGTTCAACTTCACGATTGTGTCCCAGTTGTTGTTGATTCTTGACAAAAATACCGAATATACCGAATACTTTCGCAAGGCACTGTATATAACTGGGGTGGGAACCTGAGGGTACCTCACGATACGATACGATACACGATACAAAGCTCACGATAACGATTTTATCACGATACGACGATTATTGATATATTGGTCAGAAATATACAATATGCCAATTTATGGCATAAATAAAAGAAAAAATACTCTTTATTTCATGGTTAATAGAATGGAGATGCGTAATGTAGCCATATATTAAGTATTGATTTTTATTTTTATTTTTTTTTCAAAATTGATATCGATACTTGGCAAATGCATATCGATAATCGAATCGCGGGAGAAAGTATCACCCCTAGTATATAATTCAAGTGTCCAGACGTTTTTTTGTAATATTGTCAATGTTTTTTCGACCGTGGACCAATCTTGGAGCAAAGTAATGTACTAGTTTCAAAGTTGACCAGAGAAATGGGACAACCTTGACCTCACCCTCTCCCACTCCCCTTTATAATACATTGTTTTGACTGAACCGTCGCTGATCAAATCCCTGTGTTCTGTTCTAGTCTCTCCTCATCTCCACGAGGCAAATCCATCTCATTTGTCTCCCTCTCCTCAGACGTGCATTAATGACTTTGTTTAATTAAAGGCTTAGTCTTTAAAACCCTGTACACACACATTGGAGTATTTCACACACTTTGCACTCGCTCCATTCATTAGAGTTTAGACTGTTCTTAGACTTTCTTTCTCCTTCTTTTGCAGCCGTGATCGGCAATAACAACAGCTCACGCTCTCCATCCCGTCTGAATCATGAGGTATACCAATAGTTTTTTACTGCAAATGACAAATAAAACTGAGTTACGGCAGAATTTATATATTTAATTATTGATTTTGATCCCCGTTAGCTTACTCCAGCGGTCGCTAGTGGATGGAAGAATGTGCCCCTAGTGGAGGTCCAGCTGCAGTCGACGAGCCATGATCGGTGAAGGAAGACTGGGGGCAAGAAAAAGTGCTTTCACGGTAATAAAAAGAAATAATTCTCAAAAGTAAATGATAAATATTAAGCAAAAAATACATAAAACGGAGGTGATTGCGTGATACAATGTAGTTCCCTCATCAAAAACCAGTAACCAGTCCCAGGTCTTTCTTTAGTCCCTCTTGGTCCTGGTTCTATCCAGGCCGAGCTGGGGCTGAAGTGTTCTAACTGACAGTGTTTGGACAGAGTGCTGCTGGAAGCCATGGTTACCAAGGAATTTCCTCCTGAATGTGTAGAAGATAAAGCGTTAAAAGAGGACAAGAGAGGATAGTAGGAGTAGGGGAGGGGAAGGGAGAGAGAGAGGAGGAGAGAGAGGGGAGAAAAGGGAGGAGAGGAGAGAGAGGGGAGAAAAGAGGGCTAGAGAGAGGAGACAAGGAGATGAAAGAGAGGAAAGGAGAGAGAGTGAATAGGAGAGGGGAGGGGGAAGGAAGAGAGAGAGAGAGAGAGAGAGAGAGAGAGAGAGAGAGAGAGAGAGAGAGAGAGAGAGGAGAGAAGGAGAGAGAGAGGAGAGGAGAGAGGAGAGGAACGAGAGGAGAGGAGAGGAGAGGAACGAGAGGAGAGGAGAGAGGAGGGGAGAGTAGAGTGAGAGAGGGGAGGAGAAGAGAGGAGAGAGGAGAGGAGAGAAGGAGAGAGAGAGGAGAGAAGGAGAGAGAGAGGAGAGAAGGAAAGAGAGAGAGGAGAGAAGGAGAGAAGGAGAGAGAGAGGAGAGGAACGAGAGGAGAGGAGAGAGGAGGGGAGAGTAGAGTAGAGTAGAGTGAGAGAGGGGAGGAGACGAGAGGAGAGAGAGGATATAAAAGGGGAGAGGAGAGAGAGAAGAAAGGCGAGAACACTTTGGTACCAGCTCGGCCTGGATAGAACCAGGACAAAGAGGGACCAATTGGAGCAGAGCAGAGTGTAGAGTCCAACCAGGGCTGGTGGAAACAGGGCTATTGACATAAACGTAAAAAGTCGATAGAAAAGCCACTGAATTGGGAAAAAAACAGTTGGACTGCGGAGGTGACGTCGGGACCTGCTCGTCTCGTCCTGGGGCTCAGTGTGTGTGCGCCAGTCGCTTAAATTACACACACTCGATATTCCTGCAGCGTAATCCAAATCACATTATACTAGAAGCAAAAGTACGGAGCCGGAAATGTCCACGGTCTGTGGTTTTGAACTGTGTAAAGGCAGGTTACTGAGATGAAGGGATGAAAGGGACTGTGGAGGTGTGTGGTCAGAGAGTGTCTGGGCCTGTGTCTGAGAAAGGAGAGGAGAAGGAGGAGAGAAAGAGAGGGCAGAGAGAAAAGAGAGAGGAGAGGAGGAGAGAGAGGAGGGAGAGGAGGGAGAAGTGAGAGAGAAGAGAGTTAAGAGAAAGGACAGGGAGAGGAGAGAGAAGAGGGAGAGAGAGGAGAGAAAGGACAGGGAGAAGAGAGAGTGGGGAGAGGAGGAGAGGAAAGAGCGGAAAGTGAGGAAAGGAGAGAGAAGGAGGAGAGGAGAAAGACGAGAAGAAAGAAAAAGGAGGGAGGGAGAGAGTGGAGAGAGGAGAGAGAGGAGAGAGCAGAGAAAGGACAAGGGGAGAGAGAGAAGAGGGAGAGAGAGAGAGGAGTGGAGAGAAAAAGGAGAGAGAAAGGAGAGGGAGGAGAGCAGAGAGATAGAGAGAGAGTAAAGATAAAAACCCCATTGGTCAATGTCAATAAACTAAAGTGATTGAAGCAAACTATTTTGAGAGCGAGGATCTGTAGATTTTAACATAGATCTATATTTTTTAGTTTGAAAGTCAAGTACCTGAGCTTTAACTTATATAAACACATCTGTACGTTTTTTGCAGTGTAGCTACATGTGTTTTTTTATTTGCCAAACGTGCTTCATGTTGTTATCTGTGTGAGCTCAGGCCTCTCTGCTGCTGCTGCTGCTGCTGCTGCTGCTGCTGCCCCCCCGGCTGCTGGCAGAGGCCGACTCCTCCAGGGGGCGCTCTCACAGGCGCCTGAAGAGAGGCTGGATCTGGAAGCAGCTGTTTGTCCCCGAGGAAGACCCCACGCCACGAGTCATCGGCCAGGTACAGAGGCCCCCAGGAGCCATGTCCTTCACGCCACAGCAGGGTGTCTACTGCACTGGTTCTGCTCTATGGTCCTGCTCTATGGTCCTGCTGTATGGTACTGCTCTATGGTTCTGCTCTATGGTCCTGCTGTATGGTACTGCTCTATGGTTCTGCTCTATGGTCCTGCTGTATGGTACTGCTCTATGGTTCTGCTCTATGGTCCTGCTCTATGGTCCTGCTGTATGGTACTGCTCTATGGTCCTGCTCTATGGTCCTGCTCTATGGTCCTACTCTATGGTCCTGCTCTATGGTCCTGCTCTATGGTCCTGCTCTATGGTACTGCTCTATGGTCCTGCTCTATGGTCCTGCTCTATAGTGCTGATCTTTGGCCCTGAAGGTTGTGGGTTCGAGCCCATCACGACCATCAGATGTCTGCTGTTGTTGTGTCCACAGCTCTGACTGCCACCCCTCCCACCCAGAAATGGATTTAGGGGAAGAAGATGAATGGTTTACAACAAGGATTTGATGAACTTAGAAGTGTGCAAATGCAAATGGAAGTATGTCTAATTGTTGAAATGTAGTAGTAAGATTCTTGGGGAGTAAAAGTAAAAGTGTAATAAAGTAAAGCACATAAGAACCAATGCCCTTCTGTTTCTCCGCTCACAGCTGAAGTCCGACTACGACAAAGGCGACGCCACGGTGAAGTACATCCTGTCAGGAGAGGGCGCCGGCGATGTATTTGCCATCGACCAGCACACGGGTCAGATCCGGACTCTGCGGAAACTGGACCGAGAGCAGAAGGCCTTCTACGTCCTGCAGGCTCAGGCTCTGAACCGGATCACGCTGGAACCGGTGGAACCCGAGTCCGAGTTCATCATCAAAGTCCAGGACATCAACGACAACACGCCGCGCTTCAAGAACACGCCGTACACCGCCAGCATCCCCGAGATGAGCCCGGTGGGTGAGTGACAGCTGAGGGGGTGGGGCTTAAAGTAGAGACTGTACTCCAGTGGGTCAGTGACAGCTGGGGGGCGGGGCTTAAGGCAGAGACTGTAGCTCAGTGAGTGAGTGACAGCTGGGGGGCGGAGCTTAAAGCAGAGACTATAGCCCAGTGGGCGAGTGACAGCTGAGGGGGCGTGGCTTAAAGCAGAGACTATAGCCCAGTGGGTGAGTGACAGCTGAGGGGGCGGGGCTTAAAGCAGAGACTATAGCCCAGTGGGTGAGTGACAGCTGAGGGGGCGGGGCTTAAAGCAGAGACTATAGCCCAGTGGGTGAGTGACAGCTGAGGGGGCGGGGCTTAAAGCAGAGACTATAGCCCAGTGGGTGAGTGACCGCTGAGGGGGCGGGGCTTAAAGCAGAGACTATAGCCCAGTGGGTGAGTGACAGCTGAGGGGGCGGGGCTTAATGCAGAGATTGTGGAGTAGCAGTGGACTGAGTGAGTGTGACATCACTGAAGTGTTTGCCGAATGGAGAATAAACAGATTTGAAGGTAAACAAGCTGGAGCCAATTTCCTTAAGAACTGGCCCTGACTCGGTCTGACTCTACTCTACTCTGCTCTACTCTACTCTACTCTACTCTCTACCCTACTGAGGACTGAGGCTCGAGACCCAGGACTGAGGCTGTAAGATCCAGGACTGAGGCTGTAGATCCAGGACTGAGGCTGTAGACCCAGGACTGAAGCTGTAGACCAGGACCAGGATTCAGGTTGTTAGTATTATAAAAGCAGTCTCTGTCTTTGCACGAGGACTGGACTAATACGAGTGATAAGACACACACATACGCACGCACGCACGCACACACACACGCACACACACACACACACACACACACACACGCACACACAGAACAAAGCTAGAATTTGTCATATTTGTCTGAATTAAAGTTTCATTTCTCTAAACTTCCCACTGCAATCATAAATTATTGATCCCCGGAATTTAATCTGTAATATATATTCAGTAATAAAATGTCAAGCTGTATATTTGCCTTGACTTTAATGCCTTACAGAAAATTATGTTTCTGATTTTAGCCGTTCAATACAGACCACAGCTTTTGTCGTGGAAATGTAAAACTTTTCAGGATTTTGTGAAAAAAACGACAGAATTTTAGACTTTATTAAACTCTACCATTTTCCTTGGTATTTTTTTTGTTATTTATAATGTGTATATATGAGGAGTCAAATGGAAAAAAATCCTCTCTCTGGTGTCTCTCTGATCTCTCAGGTCTCTCTCGCGCTCTCTCTCTCTCTGGTCTCTTTCTGGTCTCTCTCTCAGGTCTCTCTCGCTCTCTCTCTCTCTCTCTGGTCTCTTTCTGGTCTTTCTCTGGTCTCTCTCTGGTCTCTCTATCTGGTCTCGCTCTGGTCTCTCTCTGGTCTCTCTCTCTGGTCTCTCTCTGGTCTCTCTCTCTGGTCTCGCTCTGATCTCTCTCTGGTCTCTCTCTAGTCTCTCTCTCTGGTCTCTTTCTGGTCTCTTTCTGGTCTCTCTCTCTGGTCTCTCTCTCTGGTCTCTCTCTCTCTCTCTCTGGTCTCTCTCTGGTCTCTCTCTGGTCTCTCTCTGGTAACTCTCTGGTCTCTCTCTCTGGTCTCTCTCTGGTCCCTCTCTGGTAACTCTCTGGTCTCTCTCTCTGGTCTCTCTCTGGTCCCTCTCTGGTAACTCTCTGGTCTCTCTCTCTGGTCTCGCTCTGGTCTCTTTCTGGTCTCTCTCTCTGGTCTCTTTCTGGTCTCGCTCTGGTCTCTCTCTGGTCTCTCTCTCTGGTCTCGCTCTGGTCTCTCTCTGGTCTCTCTCTCTGGTCTCTCTCTGGTCTCTTTCTGGTCTCGCTCTGGTCTCTTTCTGGTCTCTTTCTGGTCTCTCTCTCTGGTCTCTCTCTCTGGTCTCTCTCTGGTCTCTCTCTGGTCTCTCTCTGGTCTCTCTCTGGTCCCTCTCTGGTAACTCTCTGGTTTCTCTCTCTGGTCTCTCTCTGGTCTCTCTCTGGTCTCTCTCTGGTCTCTCTCTCTGGTCTCTCTCTCTGGTCTCGCTCTGGTCTCTCTCTGGTCTCTCTCTCTGGTCTCACTCTGGTCTCTCTCTAGTCTCTCTCTGGTCTCTCTCTCTGGTCTCTCTCTCTGGTCTCACTCTGGTCTCTCTCTGGTCTCTCTCTGGTCTCTCTCTCTGGTCTCGCTCTGGTCTCTCTCTCTGGTCTCACTCTGGTCTCTCTCTGGTCTCTCTCTGGTCTCTCTCTCTGGTCTCGCTCTGGTCTCTCTCTGGTCTTTCTCTCTGGTCTCTCTCTGGTCTCTCTCTCTGGTCTCGCTCTGGTCTCTCTCTGGTCTCTCTCTCTGGTCTCACTCTGGTCTCTCTCTGCAGTAGGAGGCAGTGGTGTGGCTCAGTGAGCAATGTTTGTCTGAGTTTATTTATTCAGTGAAGTGAGAAGGTGTCCAGGTGAGCATGACCGAGCCTCCACGGCCCCACCTCTGCCCCAACACCTCCTCCCTCTCTCCCCGTCTCCCCACACCTCCCTCTGCTCTGCCTTCTCTCTCACCCCTCTCCTCTCTCCCCGTCTCCCCACACCTCCCTCTGCTCTGCCTTCTCTCTCACCCCTCTCCTCTCTCTCCCTCTCCCCACACCTCCCTCTGCTCTGCCTTCTCTCTCACCCCTCTCCTCTCTCCCCGTCTCCCCACACCTCCCTCTGCTCTGCCTTCTCTCTCTCTCTCTCCCCTCGCTGTACTGTAAATAACAAAACATGGCTGGAAACCGGAGAGAGAGAGAGACCAGAGCGAGACCAGAGCGAGACCAGAGCGAGACCAGAGCGAGACTAGAGCGAGACCAGAGCGAGACTAGAGCGAGACCAGAGCGAGCCCAGAGAGAGACCAGAGAGAGACCAGAGCGAGACCAGAGAGAGAGCAGAGAGAGACCAGAGAGAGACCAGGGAGAGACCAGAGCGAGACCAGAGAGAGACCAAAGAGAGACCAGAAAGACCAGAGAGAGGGACTAGAGAGAGACCAGGAAGAGACCAGAGAGGGAGAGACCTACAGACTTGAACCCAGGCCTCTACACCACAGCTCTTATCTCTGAGCCAATTTAGATCCCTTGTTTCCACGATCTTGTCTTTTTTGTTGCTACCCAAATCTCAGAACCATAAGTCAGAGTGTGACCATGTATGGACAACAACCGAGAGCTCTGACTGCAGACGCTGCTCCCTCTTCACCCCAACAGTCCTAGTCACCTCCGCATCTCTGCACACATCTGTCATGAAAGATCAAATCAGCCTCTGAATGTCCTGACTGTCTCGTAGAGTTGCCATGGAAACCAAAAACTAAAAAACGGCCAATTCTAAACTATTTTGTCCGATATTTTTAGTCTAAGTTTAAGTTCGTCCATTCCTCTCTCTCTGCAGGGACCACGGTGACCCAGGTGACCGCCACGGACGCCGATGACCCCATGTTGGGAAACCACGCCAAGCTCATCTACTCCATCCTGCAGGGGGAGCCATACTTCTCTGTGGAGCCCAAGACCGGTGAGTCCTGACTCTATGGTCCTGACTCTATGGTCCTGACTCTATGGTCTTGACTCTATGGTCCTGACTCTACGGTCCTGACTCTACGGTCCTGACTCTATGGTCCTGACTCTACGGTCCTGACTCTACGGTCCTGACTCTATGGTCCTGACTCTATGGTCCTGACCCTATGGTCCTGACTCTATGGTCCTGACTCTATGGTCCAGACTCTATGGCCCTGACTCTATGGTCCTTACTCTATGGTCCTGACTCTATGGTCCTGACTCTATGGTCCTGACTCTACGGTCCTGACTCTATGGTCCTGACTCTATGGTCCTGACCCTATGGTCCTGACTCTATGGTCCTGACTCTATGGTCCTGACTCTATGGTCCTGACTCTATGGTCCTGACTCTACGGTCTTGACTCTATGGTCCTGACTCTATGGTCCTGACTCTATGGTCCTGACTCTATGGTCCTGACTCTATGGTCCTGACTCTATGGTCCTGACTCTATGGTCCAGAGTAAGTCACATGTTTCCAAAGAGCTGCGCAGATAAATGTAACACATTAAAACATAAGTTTGCTTTAAATGAAATAAAATTAAAATTAAAATTAAAAAAAACAATAAAATCAAATCTAATCAAATCAAAAGAATAAGAATACAAATAGAGTACAATAAAAACATAAAAAATATAAAAAATAGATACAATAAAAAGAATAAAAATGAAATGGAAATAATAAAAATAAAATAAAAATAATAAATAATACAAGTTAAAAGAAAACAAATAAAATAAAAAGAATACAATGAAAAATAAAAAGAATAAAAATAAAAAGAACAAAATAAAATATAAACAAAAAATAAAATAAAAACACATGTCTTTCTACATACATGTAAATAAACACGAAAGAATAAACTTGTTTTGAGCCATATTTATCTTGCAGAGATCAAACCAAACTTTTCGAGTCTGTAGATCTAACTTACATGTTAAATGTTGTTGTGGGTTGAGAATCAGGTCCCTCAGCTTTAAGAAGAGTGATGTTTGAAGGGGGGCCCGCTTGGGGGTAATCAGCGGAGGCAACACACGGAGGCCGCTGATTGGGCCTAAGTGATGTTTGTGTTGACAACAAGAGCCCTGGAATAACAAAGGGGAATAATCACAGATGCATGCAGGGAAATAAAAACATTGCTCTTGTGTTTGTTTGTCCTTAGAAAATAATAGATGTGTGCGAGAAGTGACGAGAGGAGAGCGGCGTGTGGAGCTTTGTGCGTTTGTTATTGTTGTTTTGGTGTTTAAAATCAGGCATAGATCCGACCACATGGCAAGAAGTAGAAAGATATGAGTCAATACATGCTTCAATCAAATGGTTTTTATCTAGATTTTAGTACATTCTGACTGTGTTTGGATTATTTGTAATTTCTTAATCATTTGGGAAACTCCAGGGCTCAAAATAATGATAATATTAAATAACAAAAAATAATACAATTGCTTAGAGGAGAAGTATGTAAAAAATCTGGCCAAAAGTGGTACTGCAGCCTCTCCCGCTCTCCCTGACTCAGGTTGCCAGATATGCAGACGAATCCAGCTGGGACCATAACAGCTGAATAGACAAGAGTTTTGTCAACAACAAATCTATAACCAACACCTTTTTTACAAAGATAGAAATCCTGCTTTTATTCCTTGTTTTGTCGTTAATGATTTGAGAATCATAACGAGACCTTTTATAGTTCTGCGCCACATGGTACTTTACCAGTGAGATTAGCTCCACGCGGTGAGTTCTGGCGCCCGGATCACAAACTTTCTGATTGGTGAAACGGTGGAGGGCGGGACATCAAAATGAAAACAATAACAAGATTTAGAGGCTATAAAAGTAATTTAGAAATTAAAATATCTCTGAACTACTGTCATCAGTTAAAGAAGTATTGGAAAAGAGCAGTTTATTATTATGACAGATTAGGGCCCTTTAATGAGGACAGATTAGGGCCCTTTAATGATGACAGATTAGGGCCCTTTAATGAGGACAGATTTTGGCCCTTTAATGATGACAGATTAGGGCCCTTTAATTAGGACAGATTAGGGCCCTTTAATGATGCCCTGACATTAAAATCTTACATATTGCTGCTTTAAATCAAGTGTTTTTACCTGTATTTGATTGGCTGAAATGAAGTTTGTAACAATCACAGACATGCGATGAACTCCAGTTGAACTGCTCCCTCGTTCTTCAGATTTTATTGAATAGAAATCGGGAACATCCAACAATGAAAACAGTCCTTGGTCAAAATAATTGAAAGGACCAAGCAATGTTCCAGCAAACAGAATCATGGCCTTAAGCCTCCCCTGCCCTTAGAGCCGGAAGATGGAGAGCGGAAAGAAGAGAACCCTTGAAGAGGCCGAGAGAGCACACGGCCCTGTATATGTTTTATAAGTACTGGAGCAAGACACATTGTGGAGAGGAGAGAGCGGGAAGGAGAGAGGGGAGAGAGGGGGAGGAGAGAGGGGAGAGAGGGGTGAAGAAAGATGAGAAACGTCATTGACGTCGTACTTGGTTGATATTATTTTACTTCTTCTTCTTCTCCCTTGATTGCAATAGCAGACACGGGGAGAACATGCAAACTCCAGCCTTGATAAGCCCCTCCCCCCTCTGTCGACAGGTATAATCGTGACGTCGTGGCCCAACATGGACCGCGAGGCCCGGGAGGAGTACCAGGTGGTGGTGCAGGTGAAGGACATGATGGGACTGAGCGGAGGTTACTCGGCCTCCGCCACCGTCACCGTTACCCTCGACGACGTCAACGACAACGGACCCATCTTCCAGCACCGTGAGTGACACATCCCAGAGGAGAGAGAGAGAGAGGAGAGGAGGGAGGAGAGAGGAGAGAGAGGGGAGAGAGAGGAGAGAGAGAGGAGAGGGAGGGAGGAGAGAGAGAGGAGAGAGAGGACAGATAGAGGAGAGGGAGGAGGGAGAGAGAGGGGAGAGGAGAGGAGGGAGAGAGGAGAGTAGGGAGGGGAGAGAGAGGAGAGAGAGAGGAGAGGGAGGAGGGAGAGAGAGGGGAGAAGAGAGGGAGGAGAGAGAGAGGAGATGAGGGAGGGGACAGGAGGGAGGGGAGAGGAGAGGATGTAGAAGAGAGAGGAGAAGAGGGAGAGAGAGAGAGGAGAGTAGGGAGGGGAGAGAGAGAGAGGGGGAAGAGGAGAGGAGGGTAGGAGAGGAGGGAGGAGAGAGAGGAGAAGAGTGGAGAGAGAGGAGAGGAGGGAGAAGTGAAAAAGCAAAGGGGAGACAGGAGAAAGAGGGGAGAGGTGGCAGGAGTGACAGAGGAGAGAAGAGAGGAGAGGGGGTCGGAGAGGAGAGAGAATAAGGGGAGAAGAGAAAGGAAAGAGAGGAGAGGGAAGAGAGTGAAGGAGATTTGTGTTGTGTGAGTCCATTTTGATTTTGATTTTTTTCTTGTAATCTTTTCTCTAAGTCCGTCATTCGTTTCCTGTAATGACCATGTTCCATGTTCTCCACAGTTCTATCACATCCATTACTAAAAGTCTCATCAAAGAAAACATTCACAAAATACCACTTTGAAGTCTTTTCATGCACATACCAGTAAATATAAGTGAAAAGTGCAGTACCTTAAAAAGTTCCTTCAGTTTTGTCAGTTTCTTTTCTCTCTGCACATTTCCAACGACCCAAAACAACACTAAACAAACGCCCATTGTTCACATGTAGATTACAACAGGGCCAGGGTTCCACATTTTGGCAAACTATATGTATATATTTTTTTTTTTTACAATCTTTCGACGGAGGGCGACTCCACAATCTGTCCTGTCACCCTCTCATCCTACGCAGCTCTCCAACCGCAGACTCCAGACAAAAACACAGAGACCAAAAAAGTTTTGCCTGAGATCAAGGTCAAGGAAAGAGAAGGACTTGGATCCGGGGAACGTAACGAGAGCGGGCGCCGGTGGTGGGCGGGCTCGGCGGCTGTTCGTACGGTGGAATTAAAACGTTTTGTGGAACGGGGAAGGGGAGTGAGCGCGTGGCCGTGCGTCGCCCGCTGGATGGATTTAATCATTCAAACATGAAAGAACATTTGTCATGACCTTTGCAAACCGTCTGCAGCCGCGCACTGATAAAGCTGCTGCGGGGGAATCGATAGAGCGTGTAAGACAGGAGCCGAGATCTTATTATTTTATTTTTTGGAGGTTTTGAGAATTAACAAGAAGCTGTGAATTCATCAAAAGTGTCTCTGGAGGATGGGAGCGATGGAAGAATGTGTTAGTTTTATGGAGACGCTTCAACGGCAGTATTTATTCACTCCATACACGGTGCTCATGAATTACTACTGGAGTCACAGCTGCCCTGGGGCACACGGACAGAAGCGTGGCAGCCAGTTCGCATCATCGGCCTCTCCCACCACCACCAACCACTCACACACTCACCAGACTCACTCTAATGTGTGGGAAGTGTCTTGCCTAAGGACAGAGTGACACTTTACAGCCACAGACACCCCACTGTGGCACTGGTGTTCCCAGAGGTCTCCCATCACAGAACTAACCAGACCTTGCCCTGCTTAGCTTCAGAGGTTTGACACGATCTCTGAAGCTTTCACCTTAATGAATGTGAATTAAAACCAGCAAAAAGTAATGTACAAATGTGTCCATGTTGTGACATATTGTGCATGTGTGCCAATAGTAATCATAACAAACAGCAAAAAGTGAAGAAAAATAAGTCAAAAAATTCTCAAAATTTATCTTCATTTGAGCAAATTCTGACATCTTTAAAACCAGTGGGGCTTGAGCACGTGCGCTGACATGCTTCAATCTGACCCTGGGCCTGTGGGGGTGTACCCAGAAAGAGAATTACCCAATGCTTTTGTATGGCATCTTCTTTCCTCTCAAAAACCTCTTTACAGGACCAAAAGTGGCTCTTGGTTCAAAAGTGGCTCTTGGTCCAAAAGTGGTTCTTGGTCCAAAAGTGGCTCTTGGTTCAAAAGTGGCTCTTGGTCCAAAAGTGGCTCTTGGTCCAAAAGTGGCTCTTGGTTCAAAAGTGGTTCTTGGTCCAAAAGTGGCTCTTTGTCCAAAAGTGGCTCTTGGTCCAAAAGTGGCTCTTTGTCCAAAAGTGGTTCTTGGTCCAAAAGTGGCTCTTGGTCCAAAAGTGGCTCTTGGTCCAAAAGTGGTTCTTGGTCCAAAAGTGGCTCTTGGTCCAAAAGTGCTTCTTGGTCCAAAAGTGGCTCTTGGTCCAAAAGTGGTTCTTGGTCCAAAAGTGGCTCTTGGTCCAAAAGTGGCTCTTGGTCCAAAAGTGGCTCTTTGTCCAAAAGTGGCTCTTGGTCCAAAAGTGGCTCTTGGTCCAAAAGTGGCTCTTTGTCCAAAAGTGGTTCTTGGTCCAAAAGTGGCTCTTGGTCCAAAAGTGGATCTTGGTCCAAAAGTGGCTCTTTGTCCAAAAGTGGTTCTTGGTCCAAAAGTGGCTCTTGGTCCAAAAGTGGCTCTTGGTCCAAAAGTGGTTCTTGGTCCAAAAGTGGCTCTTGGTCCAAAAGTGGTTCTTGGTCCAAAAGTGGCTCTTGGTCCAAAAGTGGTTCTTGGTCCAAAAGTGGCTCTTGGTCCAAAAGTGGCTCTTTGTCCAAAAGTGGCTCTCGGTCCAAAAGTGGCTCTTGGTCCAAAAGTGTTTCTTGGTCCAAAAGTGGCTCTTGGTCCAAAAGTGGTTCTTGGTCCAAAAGTGGCTCTTGGTCCAAAAGTGGCTCTTGGTCCAAAAGTGGCTCTTTGTCCAAAAGTGGCTCTTGGTCCAAAAGTGGCTCTTGGTCCAATAGTGGCTCTTGGTCCAAAAGTGGTTCTTGGTCCAAAAGTGGTTCTTGGTCCAAAAGTGGATCTTGGTCCAAAAGTAGCTCTTGGTCCAAAAATGGCTCTTGGTTCAAAAGTGGTTCTTGGTCCAAAAGTGGCTCTTTGTCCAAAAGTGGCTCTTGGTCCAAAAGTGGCTCATGGTCCAAAAGTGGCTCTTGGTCCAAAAGTGGTTCTTGGTCCAAAAGTGGCTCTTGGTCCAAAAGTGGCTCTTGGTCCAAAAGTGGTTCTTGGTCCAAAAGTGGCTCTTGGTCCAAAAGTGGCTCTTGGTCCAAAAGTGGCTCTTGGTCTTGGTGCTAATGTGGTTTTTCACATTTTTTGAAACTGTCCATAGAAGCCAAAAGTGATGGCACATTAGTCTGCACGGCGGAGATAAGCGTGACTATGTCCATTAATATTTATAGTCATATGATTAAAACACAGGGCGCATAAGAAGAAAAATGTATTATTATCATTATTATTGTATAACGTTTATAAAAGTTCATCTGAGCATGATCTATTTCAGGCTCAGTGTTTGAATGATCATCGATACACAGTGACCTGAACTCTTCCAGGAAATGTTTATGAATAAATACAGTATAAATACTGAGCTCAGGGTCGAGAGGTGAAGCGCTCAGGCCCGTAGAGCAGAACAGAATCACTCCATGCGGTAATGGAAACTTGGATTTTAAACGTAAACATGCATTGTACGTTTGACACTTTCTGGATCCCTGATAGATAAACGTTATTTCAGAAATGTGTTGTTGAAATAGTTTCTTGACTTATATAAGAGTGGGCGGCACGGTGGGAAGAAGGTCCTGGGTTTGATTCCACCTCCAGCCCTTTCTGTGTGGAGTTTGCATGTTCTCTCTGTGTCTGTGTAGGTTTCCTCTGGGTGCTCCAGTTTCCCCCTCTAGCATGTGCATCCTGACATTTGCACAGACATACATTTTAGCTCCAATAGCTTTCATTTGAAAAGATACAATCTAAAATAAGGTAGAATAGAATAGAGTAGACCTGTCACAGACCTGTACCCTCTGTCACAGACCTGTATCCTCTGTCACAGACCTGTACCCTCTGTCACAGACCTGTATCCTCTGTCACAGACCTTTACCCTCTGTCACAGACCTGTACCCTCTGTCACAGACCTGTCACAGACCTGTACCCTCTGTCACAGACCTGTACCCTCTGTCACAGACCTGTCACAGACCTTTACCCTCTGTCACAGACCTGTATCCTCTGTCACAGACCTGTCACAGACCTGTACCCTCTGTCACAGACCTGTACCCTCTGTCACAGACCTGTATCCTCTGTCACAGACCTGTACCCTCTGCCACAGACCTGTCACAGACCTGTACCCTCTGTCACAGACCTGTCACAGACCTGTACCCTCTGTCACAGACCTTTACCCTCTGTCACAGACCTGTACCCTCTGTCACAGACCTTTACCCTCTGTCACAGACCTGTACCCTCTGTCACAGACCTTTACCCTCTGTCACAGACCTTTACCCTCTGTCACAGACCTGTACCCTCTGTCACAGACCTGTACCCTCTGTCACAGACCTGTATCCTCTGTCACAGACCTGTACCCTCTGTCACAGACCTGTACCCTCTGTCACAGACCTGTACCCTCTGTCACAGACCTGTACCCTCTGTCACAGACCTGTACCCTCTGTCACAGACCTGTACCCTCTGTCACAGACCCGTACCCTCTGTCACAGACCTGTATCCTCTGTCACAGACCTGTACCCTCTGTCACAGACCTGTCACAGACCTGTACCCTCTGTCACAGACCTGTACCCTCTGTCACAGACCTGTACCCTCTGTCACAGACCTGTACCCTCTGTCACAGACCTGTACCCTCTGTCACAGACCTTTACCCTCTGTCACAGACCTGTACCCTCTGTCACAGACCTTTACCCTCTGTCACAGACCTCTACCCTCTGTCACAGACCTGTCACAGACCTGTCACAGACCTGTACCCTCTGTCACAGACCTGTATCCTCTGTCACAGACCTTTACCCTCTGTCACAGACCTTTACCCTCTGTCACAGACCTGTACCCTCTGTCACAGACCTGTACCCTCTGTCACAGACCTGTACCCTCTGTCACAGACCTGTACCCTCTGTCACAGACCTGTACCCTCTGCCACAGACCTGTATCCTCTGTCACAGACCTGTACCCTCTGTCACAGACCTGTACCCTCTGTCACAGACCCGTACCCTCTGTCACAGACCTGTACCCTCTGTCACAGACCTGTACCCTCTGTCACAGACCTGTACCCTCTGTCACAGACCTGTACCCTCTGTCACAGACCTGTACCCTCTGTCACAGACCCGTACCCTCTGTCACAGACCTGTACCCTCTGTCACAGACCCGTACCCTCTGTCACAGACCTGTACCCTCTGTCACAGACCTGTCACAGACCTGTACCCTCTGTCACAGACCTGTACCCTCTGTCACAGACCTGTACCCTCTGTCACAGACCTGTCACAGACCTGTACCCTCTGTCACAGACCTGTACCCTCTGTCACAGACCTGTACCCTCTGTCACAGACCTGTCACAGACCTGTATCCTCTGTCACAGACCTGTCACAGACCTGTACCCTCTGCCACAGACCTGTCACAGACCTGTACCCTCTGTCACAGACCTGTACCCTCTGTCACAGACCTGTATCCTCTGTCACAGACCTGTATCCTCTGTCACAGACCTGTCACAGACCTGTACCCTCTGCCACAGACCTGTCACAGACCTGTACCCTCTGTCACAGACCTGTACCCTCTGCCACAGACCTGTATCCTCTGTCACAGACCTGTCACAGACCTGTATCCTCTGTCACAGACCTGTACTCGTTCGCTGTGGCGGAGGACGCGGCGGTTGGCTTCACCGTGGGGCGAGTCTTGGCTCGAGACGGAGACACAGGGATCAACGCCAGGATGAGCTACAGCCTGGAGGACGACCTGGAGGGCAGCGCCACCTTCATCATCCTCACCGACCCGGACACGCAGGAGGGGGTGCTGGTGCTGGCTAAGGTGGGCTGAGGCGGGCCGAGGCGGGCTGCAGCAGGCCATTCATACTAAAGGAAACACCCAGGCGTTTGTATCCAGGCTTTAGATTTCAGGCTATAGGTTCTAGAAGTTTTTGATCCAGGCCCTATAGGTTCCAGGTGTTTGGATGCTCTAGGTTCCAGGCTTTAGGATCCAGGCTTTAGGTTCCAGGCTTTAGGATCCAGGCCCTAGGTTCCAGGCTTTAGGATCCAGGCTTTAGGTTCCAGGCTTTAGGATCCAGGCTTTAGGATCCAGGCTTTAGGATCCAGGCTTTAGGATCCAGGCTTTAGGATCCAGGCTTTAGGATCCAGGCTTTAGGTTCCAGGCTTTAGGATCCAGGCTTTAGGATCCAGGCTTTAGGTTCCAGGCCCTAGGTTCCAGGCTTTAGGATCTAGGCTTTAGGATCCAGGCTTTAGGTTCCAGGCTTTAGGATCCAGGCTTTAGGATCCAGGCTTTAGGATCCAGGCTTTAGGTTCCAAGCTTTAGGATCCAGGCTTTAGGATCTAGGCTTTAGGTTCCAGGCTTTAGGATCCAGGCTTTAGGATCCAGGCTTTAGGATCCAGGCTTTAGGATCCAGGCTTTAGGATCCAGGCTTTAGGATCTAGGCTTTAGGTTCCAGGCTCTAGGTTCCAGGCTTTAGGATCCAGGCGTTTGGATCCAGGCTAAGATTGAGGTTTGTTTGATGGTTCTGTGCTTACTCTGCAAAAAAAAAAATCATAAAAAATAACTCTACTTTTTTACTTTACTACAATTTGGCCAAACGTTTCTTAATATGAGCACTTTTAACTGTTTATAACAAGATCTACCAGTGGGAAAAAGCTAAATTATCTTGTTTTAAAAAGATACAAGAAATATCTCGATTGGAATGAAAATATAAACCGTAGTTCTTTAAATAAGACTTTGTCCCGTTGGAGAATCTAGTTTTAAAACAGTAAGTATTAACTCAAATTAAGACAAAAAAATACTTGATTGAAACGATTATTACCTAATTTTTCATCATTTTTTGCAGTGTAGAGATGGGTTAAAAAGAATCTGAATATGTTTTATAGCACTGTAAGTAACAGGAAGTATCAAAGCCATTCATGTGATAGAGAGAGATGGATAATTATGGAGTAAACTATCCATTTTGATTACTTTGATTAGAGCTATTTTGAGCTATTTTAGTTTAATTTGCTTTAGCTTCTGCCTATTCCTTTTTCAAACCATATTTTGATATTTTATTCACAAGTGCCTGAAAAATGTCTGAAATAAATCTATAAACTGAAAACTGAACATTAATGTGCTTTTAATCTCTGCAGCCGCTGGACTTCGAGACCAAGAGGCGTTACGTGATGGCGGCGGAGGCGGTGAACGACCACCCGGACCCGCGCTTCCTGCCGCTGCACGAGTTCTCGGACCGCACCACTCTGAAGGTGGTGGTGGAGGACGTGGATGAGCCGCCCGTGTTTCTGCAGGAGCCGTACGAGTGGAAGATCCCAGAGAACAGTCCTTCCGGAACCGTGGTCGGCTACGTCAGCGCCAGAGACACAGACACGGTGGACAGTCCCATCAGGTGAGGCGTCAGTGTCATCAGGAGAGGCGTCAGTGTCATCAGGAGAGGCGTCAGTGTCATCAGGTGAGGTGTCAGTCCTATCAGGTGAGGCGTCAGTGTCATCAGGAGAGGCGTCAGTCCTATCAGGAGAGGCGTCAGTGTCATCAGGTGATGTGTCATCAGGTGAGGCGTCAGTGTCATCAGGAGAGGCGTCAGTGTCATCAGGAGAGGCGTCAGTGTCATCGGGTGATGTGTCATCAGGTGAGGCGTCAGTCCTATCAGGAGAGGCGTCAGTGTCATCAGGTGAGGCGTCAGTGTCATCGGGTGATGTGTCATCAGGTGAGGCGTCAGTCCTATCAGGAGAGGCGTCAGTGTCATCAGGAGAGGCGTCAGTGTCATCGGGTGATGTGTCATCAGGTGAGGCGTCAGTCCTATCAGGAGAGGCGTCAGTGTCATCAGGTGAGGCGTCAGTCCTATCAGGAGAGGCGTCAGTGTCATCAGGTGAGGCGTCAGTCCCATCAGGTGAGGCGTCAGTGTCATCAGGTGAGGTGTCAGTCCCATCAGGTGAGGCGTCAGTGTCATCAGGTGAGGCGTCAGTGTCATCAGGTGAGGTGTCAGTCCCATCAGGTGAGGCGTCAGTAGCTGCGTTTCCATTGAGCATCAAATTTCGAAATTTGAATTTGCGCATCATAAAATGTCTAATGGAAACGCGCAAATTTCGAATAAACCACAGTTTTTCGATAAAAAGTTTATGCGCTTAAAATAGGTGGTTTTTTGGACGTATCGAAATTAAGTTTTTCGCAAAACGGCAATGGAAACACTTATTTCGATATAGCGGAGGAAGCCGAGCTGCTTTATTCAGTGAGTTTTGGCTGCGCTTCGTGTGGAGACTTGGGAGATACGTGGGAGAGGCATGGGGGAGAGACGGGGGAGAGACGGGGGAGAGGCATGGGGGAGAGACGGGGGAGAGCTGGGGGAGAGGGATGGGGGAGGCATGGGGAGGGGGAGAGACGGGGGAGAGGCATGGGGGAGAGACGGGGGAGACAGGCAAGACCCGTGTCTGGTTCTGTGCGCGCGTCTATGGTCCGCGTTCGCGGAGCTGTCAAAGCAGCCACAGTTTCTCCCGGGGTCAGAGAGGATGACAGCCGCAGCAGAAGTCAAGACATTAATATATCTCACGTAAATCAAAGTGTTGTTTACTTCTGTTGCCATGTTGACGTACTAGAAACTAGTGAATAAACGCGCGACCATAGTGTATACTTATTCGAATATGTCTTAATGGAAACGGCCGCTTTTGCGAATTAAGGTTTTTCGAATTTTGAAATGTATCGAAAAAGTTTTTGCGCATTATTCAATGGAAACGCAGCTATTGTCATCAGGTGAGGCGTCAGTGTCATCAGGAGAGGCGTCAGTGTCATCAGGAGAGGCGTCAGTGTCATCGGGTGATGTGTCATCAGGTGAGGCGTCAGTCCTATCAGGAGAGGCGTCAGTGTCATCAGGTGAGGCGTCAGTGTCATCGGGTGATGTGTCATCAGGTGAGGCGTCAGTCCTATCAGGAGAGGCGTCAGTGTCATCAGGAGAGGCGTCAGTGTCATCGGGTGATGTGTCATCAGGTGAGGCGTCAGTCCTATCAGGAGAGGCGTCAGTGTCATCAGGTGAGGCGTCAGTCCTATCAGGAGAGGCGTCAGTGTCATCAGGTGAGGTGTCAGTCCCATCAGGTGAGGCGTCAGTGTCATCAGGTGAGGCGTCAGTGTCATCAGGTGAGGTGTCAGTCCCATCAGGTGAGGCGTCAGTGTCATCAGGTGAGGCGTCAGTGTCATCGGGTGATGTGTCATCAGGTGAGGCGTCAGTCCTATCAGGAGAGGCGTCAGTGTCATCAGGAGAGGCGTCAGTGTCATCGGGTGATGTGTCATCAGGTGAGGCGTCAGTCCTATCAGGAGAGGCGTCAGTGTCATCAGGTGAGGCGTCAGTCCTATCAGGAGAGGCGTCAGTGTCATCAGGTGAGGCGTCAGTCCCATCAGGTGAGGCGTCAGTGTCATCAGGTGAGGTGTCAGTCCCATCAGGTGAGGCGTCAGTGTCATCAGGTGAGGCGTCAGTGTCATCAGGTGAGGTGTCAGTCCCATCAGGTGAGGCGTCAGTAGCTGCGTTTCCATTGAGCATCAAATTTCGAAATTTGAATTTGCGCATCATAAAATGTCTAATGGAAACGCGCAAATTTCGAATAAACCACAGTTTTTCGATAAAAAGTTTATGCGCTTAAAATAGGTGGTTTTTTGGACGTATCGAAATTAAGTTTTTCGCAAAACGGCAATGGAAACACTTATTTCGATATAGCGGAGGAAGCCGAGCTGCTTTATTCAGTGAGTTTTGGCTGCGCTTCGTGTGGAGACTTGGGAGATACGTGGGAGAGGCATGGGGGAGAGACGGGGGAGAGACGGGGGAGAGGCATGGGGGAGAGACGGGGGAGAGACGGGGGAGAGGCATGGGGGAGAGACGGGGGAGACAGGCAAGACCCGTGTCTGGTTCTGTGCGCGCGTCTATGGTCCGCGTTCGCGGAGCTGTCAAAGCAGCCACAGTTTCTCCCGGGGTCAGAGAGGATGACAGCCGCAGCAGAAGTCAAGACATTAATATATCTCACGTAAATCAAAGTGTTGTTTACTTCTGTTGCCATGTTGACGTACTAGAAACTAGTGAATAAACGCGCGACCATAGTGTATACTTATTCGAATATGTCTTAATGGAAACGGCCGCTTTTGCGAATTAAGGTTTTTCGAATTTTGAAATGTATCGAAAAAGTTTTTGCGCATTATTCAATGGAAACGCAGCTATTGTCATCAGGTGAGGCGTCAGTGTCATCAGGAGAGGCGTCAGTCCTATCAGGAGAGGCGTCAGTGTCATCAGGTGAGGCGTCAGTGTCATCAGGAGAGGCGTCAGTGTCATCAGGTGAGGCGTCAGTGTCATCAGGAGAGGCGTCAGTGTCATCAGGAGAGGCGTCAGTCCTATCAGGAGAGGCGTCAGTGTCATCAGGTGAGGCGTCAGTGTCATCAGGAGAGGCGTCAGTCCTATCAGGAGAGGCGTCAGTATCATCAGGAGAGGCGTCAGTGTCATCAGGTGAGGCGTCAGTGTCATCAGGAGAGGCGTCAGTCCTATCAGGAGAGGCGTCAGTGTCATCAGGAGAGGCGTCAGTCCTCTCAGGAGAGGCGTCAGTGTCATCAGGAGAGGCGTCAGTCCTATCAGGTGAGGCGTCAGTGTCATCAGGTGAGGTGTCAGTCCCATCAGGTGAGGCGTCAGTGTCATCAGGTGAGGCGTCAGTGTCATCAGGTGAGGCGTCAGTGTCATCAGGAGAGGCGTCAGTCCTATCAGGAGAGGCGTCAGTGTCATCAGGTGAGGCGTCAGTGTCATCAGGAGAGGCGTCAGTCCTATCAGGAGAGGCGTCAGTGTCATCAGGAGAGGCGTCAGTGTCATCAGGTGAGGCGTCAGTGTCATCAGGTTAGGCGTCAGTCCTATCAGGAGAGGCGTCAGTCCCATCAGGTGAGGCGTCAGTGTCATCAGGTGAGGCATCAGTCCCATCAGGTGAGGCGTCAGTCCCATCAGGTGAGGCGTCAGTGTCATCAGGTGAGGCGTCAGTGTCATCAGGTGAGGCGTCAGTCCCATCAGGTCTCCATCCATCACTGACCTGCTGCCAACAGAGCATTATGGCCTGTATTTGAATCCAGAGTTGAGACTTAGTAAATAACTTACACTTGTAGCTGTTTGGTGTTCGTTCAGATTACTTTACTAAAATATTTCTATAACAGAAACATGGCAGCAGATAGAGCACAGGGAAAAGAAATGTCAATTCAATTTCAATAAAAAAATGTTAACTCGGAAACTCAGTACGAAAAAGTGAGAAACTTTACCCAAATAAACAGCCAATGTTGTGCATGAGGGGGGTCTTAAAGTCTTCTTCTTCTTCCCACTCACACTTTAAGTTGAATTATAGAATTAAATAAACAATATTCTCCTTTTGCCGAGTTCCACCTGTGTTTATAGTATTTAGTATTTATAAAGTTTAAACACTCGTCCACTCCTGCTAGACTCCATTCAACCTTTCAAGGACACTTACCTTTGCTGTTTTATCCTCTCAAACAATGACCGTGACTTTTTCTTTGACGGAATCGCTGTTTGGAGAGACGTGTGTGTTTGGCGCCGCCGCCAGGTCCTGACGGTGCAGGTGTACGAGGAGAGTAATGATCATGATCTGGCAACGGATTCACAACAACATCGGAAATAAACCAATTTGACTCGAGGAAACTTCATCGTATTCAACGCAGTCGTCGGTTCCAATACTGCCCGAGCGGTCGCATCCATCAGCTGTCACCGCGGCGTTACCACGGGGACGAGAGGCTGCTGAGGATCTGTACCACCTGCCAGTCCCTCTGCGCCGAGACTACAGGGCTAAAGAGATGCTAATGACTGATATGTTAGTGCTATATGAGCCAACGGGGACTCTGAGGAGCACAGGGACTGGCCTCCTGCTGGGACTCTGAGGAGCACAGGGACTGGCCTCTGGTGGGGACTCAGAGAAGCACAGGGACTGGCCTCCTGCTGGAACTCAGAGAAGCACAGGGACTGACCTCCTGCTGGAACTCAGAGAAGCACAGGGACTGACCTCCTGCTGGAACTCAGAGAAGCACAGGGACTGACCTCCTGCTGGGACTCTGAGGAGCACAGGGACTGGCCTCCTCCTGGGACTCTGAGGAGCACAGGGACTGGCCTCCTGCTGGGACTCTGAGGAGCACAGGGACTGGCCTCTTGCAGCTTTTGTCATTGTCTTCACCTTATCTACGAAGGGTTCTGAGTCTGAGCATTTGTCATACTGTGTTTAAAACTAAAACACTTGGATAGAAGGGGTGGGGAGACATGCAGAAGTCCCTGATATAAGTGAGGATGCTTCATGTATATCTCTCTTGTTTTGTTCAGCCTTCGAGATTGAGTATGAACTGTGCTATACAATAAAACCTTGCCAAATCTCCATTCCATGTGCCACATATCACACATCCTCAGACCTCGGCAACGTCGCTTTGTTGATAATGACAGAAAAAACCAGCGAGAAGCCGAGAAAAAAACAGAATTTTACAGTGATTTATTCAGCCGGGCTCATTTCCCTCTAAACTAATGTGAGATAAATACGGTCATTCACGGCGCATCCAGAGATCAAGGGTAAAAATGGAGGCAGTCAGCCGCTACCGTTACTGGAAATGGAAAGATTTTTCACCGAGAGGAGGAAGGAGCAGTGGCTGGATGTCCTGGGATGCCTCGCCTCGCCCCCTCCCCCGTTGATGCCACATGTCATTCTCCACCGCCGTCTGTCGAGGAGGAGCAGGCGTCACCGGGAAGATGGGCCCGTCCTGGGAGAAGACTCTAAACCCCCAACCCCCTCAGAACTCTGACCACCCCCTCAGAAGAAGAAGAAGAAGAGAGAGGTCGAGATTCACCAAACTGCACTCGTGGATGAGCTGTCGTTTCTCAATCACAGCGATCTGTAAATATATCCCACAAAACGAGAAATGGGTGAAGTAGCAGCTGAATGTTTGAAAGAGAGAGAGACCAGAGAGAGAGTAGAGAGAGACCAGAGAGAGACCAGAAAGAGACCAGAGAGAGAGATCAGAGAGACCAGAGAGAGACCAGAGAGAGACCAGAGAGAGACCAGGGAGAGACCAGAGAGAGACCAGAGAGAGACCAGAGAGAGAGATCAGAGAGAGACCAGAGAGAGACCAGAGAGAGACCAGAGAGAGACCAGAGAGAGACCAGAGAGAGACCAGGGAGAGACCAAAGAGAGAGACCAGAGAGAGAGACCAGAGAGAGACGAGACAGAGACCAGGGAGAGACCAGAGAGAGAGACCAGAGAGAGACCAGAGACTAGAGAGAAACCAGAGAGAGACCAGAGAGAAACCAGAGAGAGACCAGGGAGAGACAAAAGAGAGATCAGAGAGACCAGAGAGAGAGAGCGCAGGGAGAGACATGAGAGAGACCAGAGAGAGAGACAAGAGAGAGACCAGAGAGAGACCAGAGAGAGACCAGAGAGAGACCAGAGAGACCAGAGAAAGACCAGAGAAAGACCAGAGAGAGACCAGAGAGAGACCAGAGAGAGACCATATGAGAGAGACAAGAGAGAGACAAGAGAGAGACCAGAGAGAGAGACCAGAGAGAGACCAGAGAAAGACCAGAGAAAGACCAGACAGAGACCAGAGAGAGACCATATGAGAGAGACAAGAGAGAGACCAGAGAGAGACCAGAGAGAGACCAGAGAAAGACCAGAGAGAGACCAGAGAGAGACCAGAGAAAGACCAGAGAAAGACCAGAGAAAGACCAGAGAAAGACCAGAGAAAGACCAGAGAGAGAGATCAGAGAGAGACCAGAGAGAGACCAGAGAGAGACCAGGGAGAGACCAGAGAGAGACCAGAGAGAGACCAGAGAGAGAGATCAGAGAGAGACCAGAGAGAGACCAGAGAGAGACCAGAGAGAGACCAGAGAGAGACCAGAGAGAGACCAGAGAGAGACCAGAGAGAGAGATCAGAGAGAGACCAGAGAGAGACCAGAGAGAGACCAGAGAGAGACCAGAGAGAGACCAGAGAGAGACCAGGGAGAGACCAAAGAGAGAGACCAGAGAGAGAGACCAGAGAGAGACGAGACAGAGACCAGGGAGAGACCAGAGAGAGAGACCAGAGAGAGACCAGAGACTAGAGAGAAACCAGAGAGAGACCAGAGAGAAACCAGAGAGAGACCAGGGAGAGACAAAAGAGAGATCAGAGAGACCAGAGAGAGAGAGAGCAGGGAGAGACATGAGAGAGACCAGAGAGAGAGACAAGAGAGAGACAAGAGAGAGACCAGAGAGAGACCAGAGAGAGACCAGAGAGAGACCAGAGAGACCAGAGAAAGACCAGAGAAAGACCAGAGAGAGACCAGAGAGAGACCAGAGAGAGACCAGAGAGAGACCATATGAGAGAGACAAGAGAGAGACAAGAGAGAGACCAGAGAGAGAGACCAGAGAGAGACCAGAGAAAGACCAGAGAAAGACCAGACAGAGACCAGAGAGAGACCATATGAGAGAGACAAGAGAGAGACCAGAGAGAGACCAGAGAGAGACCAGAGAAAGACCAGAGAGAGACCAGAGAGAGACCAGAGAAAGACCAGAGAAAGACCAGAGAAAGACCAGAGAAAGACCAGAGAAAGACCAGAGAGAGATAAGAGAGAGACCAGAGAGAGACCAGAGAAAGACTATAGGACACAGCGTCACTTTTCTGCTTGTTTGTGTCGGTGTGTGATTCTGAGCTCAGTCCTGATGCCGTTGGGCGAAGTTTTAAATATACATTTATTGAAAGAAGATTGTGTGAGGACAGCTGAGGCACCGTGTCCCCAGAGCTCCCTCCGGACTCACTGTGGTCCTGCTCCAGAAAACAAACACACTGAACGTTACAAGCTCTCGGCAAATGGAGTTGTGTAATATCTTCTCAGAGCGTTAGATTTTCACACATGCTTAACTGCAGCAACACAACTCATTTCATTTCAGCAGCGCAATTAAATTCACCATGTTTCCTGAACACACACACATACACATACACAGACGGACACAGAAATACACACAGACACAGAGAGACACACACACACACAGACACAAAGAGACAAACACAGACACAGAGAGACACACACATAGACAAATACAGAAACGCACAGACACGATGAGACACACAGACGCAGAGAGACACACACAGACACAGACGCAGAGAGATACACACAGACACAAAGAGACACACACATAGACAAACACAGAGACGCACAGACACGATGAGACACACACAGACGCAGAGAGATACACACAGACACAGAGACACACACAGACACAGACACAGAGAGATACACACAGATGCAAAGAGACCCACACAGACACAGGGAGACACACACAGACACAGAGAGATACACACAGACGCAGAGAGACACACACAGACGCAGAGAGATACACACAGACACAGAGAGACACACACAGACACAGAGAGAGACACAAAGACACAGAGAGACACACACAGACGCAAAGAGACACACAGACGCAGAGAGACACACACAGACGCAGACACAGAGATACACACAGATGCAAAGAGACACACACAGACACAGAGAGACACACACAGACGCAAACAGACACACACAGACGCAGAGAGACACACACAGACACAGAGAGACAAACACAGACACAGAGAGATACACACAGACACAGAGAGACACACACAGACGCAAAGAGACACACACAGACACAGAGAGACACACACAGACACAGAGAGATACACACAGATGCAAAGAGACACACACAGACACAGAGACACACACAGACGCAAAGAGACAGACACAGAGAGACACACACAGACACAGAGAGATACACACAGACGCAAAGAGACACACACAGACGCAGAGAGACACACACAGACGCAAAGAGACACACACAGACACAGAGAGACACACACAGACACAGAGAGATACACACAGATGCAAAGAGACACACACAGACACAGAGACACACACAGACGCAAAGAGACAGACACAGAGAGACACACACAGACACAGAGAGATACACACAGACGCAAAGAGACACACACAGACGCAGAGAGACACACAACGACACAAAGAGACACACACAGAGGCAAAGAGACACACACAGACACACACACACCTTTTACAATAGTAAGGTATTTAGAGCAAATTACACTTATATTGACAATGGGTTTTTGATCTTTTGGACCAAATATAAAGTTAAACATATCGCTTCAAACACTTTCATAAGAATCAAACATCACATTAGCGGCCACGGAGAAGAGTCTTGTGGACCGGATTTGGCTCGGGGGCCTGAGTTTGACAAGCCTGGCTCGGTAGTGACTGATTTACAGACGTGTGTTTTTGACAAAGTATTACTGGTGAAAGTCCGGGGGCCGTATGGAGATATGAACAGGACCGCACATGGCCCTCAGCCCACAGTTTGCCCAGGTCTGGTCTGGTTCCTCCCCTCATCAACCATACCATAGTTTAGTGTCTTGTCCTTTCATTTTAAACAGAAGAATCCAGGCTCACACTTATCTCCTCTGCTTTTTCATCCTGCTGTTTTCAAATTATAACTCCTGCTTTGTCGCAAGTCGGGAAAAGCCCGCGCTCCGATACACGGCGAAACTCAATTTGTCAAACTGCATCTGAACTCTGCGTGTGTGTTTACCGCGGCCTCCCCCTCGTCCACGGCTCTTCTTTGGTGGAAATCTGTCAGAGAGACACAGCGGTGCTTTGCCTAATTAATCTCCCCGTGGTATCGCAATGTTTTGTTTGTCGGGTGGAAATACCTGGCCCTTTTTAAACGTCTCGGTGCTTCTTCTTCCAGATACGCCATCGACAAAAGGAGCGAGGGCGCCAGAGCCTTTCGGATAGACCCGCACAACGGCACCGTGAGTCTGGCCACGGCGTTGGACCGGGAGAGCTTGGACTGGCACAACGTGACGGTCACAGCCACGGAAACAAGTAAGACAAATGTAGTTTTGTTTTTAATTAAGTCATGTGAGGCTAAAAAGAACTGTAATCTGTAACAATAACCATGATAATAATTCATTCATTTTCAACCCCTTTATTAGTCCATTTCTGGGTCGGAGGGTGGCAATGAGAGCTGCACCCAATGCTCATAGCACCAGTCCCTCTCCTCTGCAGGGGGTGAGTCCACAGGAAGATGGCTTCTTCACGCAGCCTTGTTCTTTCAGCCGGGGCTTCAGGCATCGTGGGGTTAAGTGTCTTGCCCAATGACACAACGACAGTAGACATTTGTGGGAGCAGTTGGAGTAGGTCCCATGGTGGGCTCGAACCCACGTCCTTCAGGCTCGAAGGCCAGTGCTCTACCAACTGAGCTACTGTCACCCCTGATAATAATGAATTGATTTTATAACCCTAACCCTAACCCACTACTGTAGCCACAGCTGCCCTGGGGCACACTGATTAAAACATGTTGAATTGATGTTAACACCCTCAGTTACACGTGATAAGCCCAGGTATTCATCAAATGCACCGGATGTCCTTCATCAAATGTGTGATCAGACCAAGATCATGCCCAAGAATTCTCATTTAGAAGGATTCATATTTGCACCCCTAGTGGTCAACCATGGAACTCCTTCTACTTAATTGTATATGTTGATCTTAATGTTGCAGAAGAAGATTTTTTTTCAGTAATGTTGGTACAGATTGGACAATGTTATATCAACTTTGTCACATACAGTTTGGCTTCCATTTTGGAAAAATATCTGCCATATTGAATTTTTGAATTCCAAAATATAGCTTTTAGAGAGTATTTTAGCCAAATGTCATGCTTTTATACCAAATTGGATTTTTTTCTCCTTATCTGCTGCACTAACATTAGTTTTAGTATTTGTGTATCATGGAAGATCTCAGCTCCTTTGGACTCAGCACCTGCAGGAGGATCAGTGAGGGGCTGGTGCTCTGTGTACTGGGTGCAGCTCTGACTGCCACCCCCCGACCCAGAAATGGATTAAGGGGAAGAAGATGGATGGATGGATAATACTAGTTTTTCCCCT